TTTAAGTCCACACAATACAATTTGGCAAAGGAGAAGGAATAAACCAGCGGCGATTTATGGAGTCACTTTTTTCTCGCTCTTGACCGCGACATGAACAGTGCCGGAAGTGGAGAATCTCCGGTTACTTTATCAATTTGAGCTTGTTTTGCTAAAATGTTTTAGAAATCAGGGTTGCCTACAGCGGGGATTCCATATATGAGCTTTGTACGCTGTTTTTGGAGATTGTTTTTGAAGAATCGAAAGGTCAACGGAATGGCGTCACTGTTCATCTCTGAACTCAATCATAGATTTATGGTGTCTCGGGCGAATTTGAAGGTCTTCCTTCTAGGATTCTGAGCAAAATGGTTAATTTTTCCAAGGTATGAGCATGGATTACTATTACATATCAATAATCAACCGATTTGGAAATTTTTTGGATACGTGTTACTGTTCACAACTCGAACTTTGAGTCTGCTTTGCACTGATGTTAGACCACGATTTTGGTTAATGTTTTGCTGAGGTGGTGCCACTATGAAGCTGAGAATTTTGAGTTGTTATGCTTGAATTTTTAAACTGAAAATAAAAAATCGATATCTTGTATAGTCCAAAATATTTTAAACTCCACACAGGCTGTGATCCAATACACTTATTTTATTAAGCATTTTAAAGAGAAGTTTGAAGTTCATTGGAGATTATAATATTATATGTATCCTGCTTGAGATGTACCGTAAATAGCTAAAGTTGAGCTTGACACCTTGTTTTGATCTTCAGGAGGAATTTGAAGAGCATGCCATGAAAGCTAAGCTCTTGCCTGAAAACACTCCCAATGAAGACAAGGTCATTCTCTATGGACTTTACAAACAAGCTACGGTGGGAAAAGTGAACATGGGCGATTTATAACTTCGTCTAAACAAACTTTTAATGCATTTCTGTCCTTAAATTTTTCTTTATCTTGCTGGGTTTTTGGGTTTTCATTAAGAAACAGATCGTCCATGTATTTTCAGTATGAAGGAAAGAGCAAAGTGGGATGCATGGAAGGCTGTTAAAGGTATATGTGATATGCAATATATCTTGGATGCGAAATCTCCCTTCCTCGAAGAACAAATAGAAATTTGTTTTTACAATACAAGCTATTTGGGACTTTTGTTGCGGTTTTTAATTGTGCCCATGGAACTCAATGGTTGATGGACTTAGTCTGCTCGAAAGTGCCTAGTCTTACTGTACTCTGGGTCTGAACTGTCTTGGTTCCTGCTGGCTAGCCTTTGGAAAGGCTGCTAGAACCAATGGCTGCTATGGATTGATGTTTGGGCAAAGGTGTGCTATTTTCTCTTGTAGGGTTTGGTCTCACTTGGTGAGGCTCAAGTTTTGGAATGGTCTTTGTTTGTTTTTGTTCTTGGTTGAGGGATGTTTTAACTCCCTACAAGGCTTTAGTTTTTCCGATGTCCACTGGGTATGGTTTTTGAGTTTTTCATTTGATATCATCCCCTAGTTCTTCCAATCAGTCATTTCAATCCAAACTACTTATATGATGTTTAATTCTAATTATATAGTCAGACTTTATATCATTTTGTAACCTAGCAGAAGATGATTCAAATGTAGAGCTAAAATCTCCAGGAAGTTTAAGAGACCAAATCAAAGGTATTCCTCTCTACAAAGTGAAGATTTAATCATATTTTTTCTTAGTGTAGAGAGGAATACCTTTGATTTGGTCTCTAAAACTTCCTAGAGATTTTAGCTCTACATTTGAATCATCTTCTACTAGGTTACAAAGTGAAGATTTAATCATATTTTTTCTTAGGAGTGTAGATTTACTCTTAACTTCTACGTTGCTTTAACTCCAAACTAAACATGATTTTGTACTATGGTTTTTACTCAAATCTGATATCTGAAAATCATTTAGTTTGAATTCGCAACTTGATTAGAATCTAGAAACTATAATAACCTTGATGTTACTTATATTAATAACATTGGGTAGTGCTTGTTTTGGAATGTGATACTATGTATAAACCTGTATCATAATTAAAATGATCATGATTAGGCCTTACCTTAAATATCTTGGATAGTCATCTATTATTTTCAAAATGATTTGCTTTAAATCTATTGGCATCTGTTATTATACGGAAAATGGTTATAATTCCTAGCATCCATGATACACAATTGGAGCTTTAAGAGTTCTAGGACACATGAGAGTTTTTTTGGGCATGAAAAACATAACTTACAAAAAGTATGATAAACACGTGTTGTATGGAACGCATGCATAAGACATTTTCCTTTACAAAAAAATCTTAAAATTTTATTTCATAAAAAAATAAAATAACTTAAATAATGTAGTTTGTTTAAAAAAATCTATGATTAAATTAAAATGGAAATACATAATTAAAAAGAATGAGAGTACACATGTATATAAATGTAATAAAATACTCCCTCCGTCCCATTTTATAACGCCTGTTTCGGTTTATGATGTTTGACTGAAATTATTTTCAAATCATTTTATATGACAAATGGTATAGAGTTAAAAAATAAAAATTGCATATCAAAATATTACATCAAATGATCTACAAAACTAGTAGTGACAACAATATTTTATTTTTTTCAAATTGCTAACGAAAATAGAGAAAGAAAGTAAATGAAGTTTGGCCCTGTGAATAGTGAACAGACACTATAATTTGGGACGGAGGGAGTAAATGGTGTATAGGTTCAAAAATTTATAAGTAATTTTATTTTTAAAAGTTATAAAATATTTAATTATAACATTTTTAAATAATGATTTAATGCTTTGTATTAAAAATATGTGTTATAATAAAGAAAATATAATAAAAAAGAATGATTATTTTAGTTAGAAATTAGTAAGATTTTATATAAAAAATAAAATGAGAAATAATGAATGTTAGTATCAAGTTTAATATTCATGTAAAATACAAAATATAGCAAGTGAAAGGTTTATAAACATATTCATCATTTATTTTATATGCGTGGGTAGCATTGTATATGACACATGGAATAAAGGTGTCATTTTACTAATTTTTTATAAACAAAATTAACATTTTATTTTATAAAATAATTATACAAAAGCATAAATAGTTTTACAAAAATATAAAATCTACATAAGAATTGAAAGAAACAACTTAATTTTAATCGCAGTATATTGGCATATAGAGACACATATAATATTGTATGATGAAAAGTTCTAAAATAAATTATATAGCTAATAAAGATGCATATGTAATAAAGTTTATACTAAACTTTGAATCAAACAATTTAGTTAATAAAGATGCATATGGATAAATGTATAAAATTGTTTTTAGAAATACTCCGTAATAAAAAAAAACTGTGTTGGAACACAAGTTTACGCCTATGTCGTACTAAACCGTGTTCGTTTTATGACAGGTTTTGATAATGCCAAACCGCCGTGACAACAACACTAAACTGAGCAAATCAAAGGCGAAGGAACATGACATGATGATTTGAGAACCAAGAACCAAGAACCAAGAACGAATACTTAGAATTTTATTGAGTTGGTCTTAATGTGATCAAGACCGGCACAAACTTTCAAAACATGGCTCTCTAGGCTCAATTCATCAAAATATTTTTTGCATACTCAAAAATATCTTTCATAAGTTTTAAACCAGCCTTAAACACTTGGAGTTCGCCCAAACCAAAAACCAAGCCAACCGGCGTTCGGTTTTCAGAAACCGGCGTTCAACATTCGGTTATCGGCGTTGGATGTTAGACATCGCTGTTGAGCCAAGGTTGGGTTTCCAGAAACATATGGAACAACGATGTAGCCTATCCTACATCGCTGTCCAACCTAAGCCAAAAACAAATACATTGGCAGAAAGTTTTTGGACAGCGCTGTTGTCCTAGCAACAGCGATGTCAGGCCAATTCCCCTTTCAAAGGCAGGCCTGAACAGCGATGTTCAAGTAATGAACATCGATGTAGGCACTTGACCGTTGGGAGGAATTTATGGCTAAAACTTTCCTTGTTTGGAAGTCAACAGCCAAAACAGCGATGTAGGGGTGTTGGACATCGCTGTTGGCATGAACGTTGCTTCCTATTTTTCAAAGACCAAACCTAGAACAGTGATGTCCAAGCCTAGGACAACGCTGTCTAGAGGATTTTCAGCAGATCCAATTTTAATCAAATCCCTCAAATTATGCCAATCATCCCCATTTAACTCCTACCCGTTGGAGCCTATTTTTTCACTATAAAATGGGGTGTTTGGGTCTATTTTATACATCACATTACTACACAACTCTATTATTTCATTGCATACAGTTCATACATTATTCATAGCTTTTCGAGAGCCATTTTTGTGAAGTTTGTGTTGTGTTCTTGAGCGTTTTTAGTTACTCATTATCCACTCTAAAAGAGAGTTTTGTTCTGGAGTGATTTAGTGTTCTTAGACACTTGACAAGAGAAAATATTTCTCTTGTTGTTCGAAGGAAGGGTTGTTTCCTTCGAAGGTTCGTTGAGGTTTGTGTGACTCAAACTCTCAAGTTGTACTGGTTTGTTAAGCACCGTTAAGCTTAACGTTGTTAGTGTAGCTCGAGAGAGTCTCTCGGGTGTGCCTCTTCCTTGCTCTTTTCTTTACGCTCTTATTTTTTTTATTCCTGCGTCATTTTTCGTTTCAAATGTTATTCACCCCCCTCTAGCGTTGGGACGTTTTTCTAACAATTGGTATCAGAGCCTAACTCTCTTCCAAACTTAACCATTTGAGAGGAAAAAGATCATGGGCTCTTCTTCTAGAAACTTGCACGCAGGTATTGGCGAAGGGAAATCCACCTCAAGGCCACCACTCTTTGATGGCACCAACTACTCCTATTGAAAGGAACGAATGAGAATCTATATCCGTTCCACCAACTTCTAATTGAGGTTGGTGATCAAGAATGGTGAGGAAATCCCAACGAAGAAAGTGGGAGAAACCACGGTCCTAAAGAACGAGGACGAATTTGATGCCGAGGACATCAAGAAGGTTGAAAACTACGCAAAGGCCATCAACATGCTATACTGCGCGGTTAACCCCGGCGACTACCGAAAGATCTCATGTTGCACAACTGCCAAGGAGATGTGGGACAAGTTTAAAGTGACGTACGAACGTACCGATCAAGTTCGTGAAGCCAAGATCGATTTTCTCACCTAAGAGTACGAAATGTTCCGAATGAAGGAAGGTGAGAAAATCGATGACATGTTTGACCGGTTTTCAAAAATAATCAACGATCTTCACGCCTTGAAGAAGAGCTACTCCAACAAGGATCTAGTGAGGAAGATCCTTCGAATCTTAACTCCCGAATGGCGCTCCAAGGCCGATGCCATTTACGAGTCAATTGGCGTCTCCAACGTCACAATTGATGGATTAAGAGGTAATCTCAAAACTTACGAATCTACCATTCTTAATCCATCATTGGACGAATAAAAGAAAAAGGGAATAGCTCTCAAAGCCACCAAGGAACCGGTGGAAGAGGTTTCAAGCGATGACCACAACGAGTTTGGACTCGTCATCAAGAAGTTTCACAAGTTCATGAAGGAGTTTGAGCGGAAGGGAAGGAAGCACAACGGTCCTCCCAAGTGCTACGGCTGTGGCGAGATTGGCCACATCAAGCCAAGTTGTCCAAAAGCCAAGCACGACAAGGACAAGCCCGGCTTCAAGAAGCAAAGGGCTTACATCTCTTAGGGTGGCGATTCCGGCGACGAATCAACCGACCAAGAGGAGGACGAAGCTGCAAATATTTGCCTCATGGCGCACGAAGATCAAAATGACGACGTCCAAAAGGTATGTACCATTTCTTCCGACTCTTACATTTTTGAAGAAATGCAAGAAGCACTTCATGAACTTTATGAATAATTTGTTAGCGCTTCCAAAACGAATAAATATTTAAAGAACGTCTTTCTACACTTGAAAACGATTTTGAAAAATTGGAAAAAGACAATGAAAAATTAAAACAAGAAAATAATTTTTTTGGAAAAAGAAGCGCTGACAAACCGGAAAGTTCCTCAAGTGAATGTGAATCTGGTAAGGCTTTAAAAGAACAAGTCACTAAACATGAGAGCACGGTCAAGAAATTTAATACTCCGCACAAAGATTTAAATTTGCTCCTTGACACTATGCATTTTTCTAAGGAAGAAATAGGTTTTAATAAAAATGAAGCTAAGGTTAAGGAAAATGTTGAGCCACCACCTAGACAACCATCAAAGGCTCAACGTAAGAAACCTAAAAATTAGGATAATAGAAAACCTAGTCAACCTAAGGACACTAGAAAACCTAGACTAAAATCTAGGAATGAAAATGTTCATGGTAGACAACCTAAGAAAAATGATTTTGTGCATAAAACCAATTTTTCTCAAAATAGAAGAAAAAATGTTAGATCACCTAGAAAATTAAAGGTCAATTTCAAAACTTTCAAATACCATCTTTCTCACAAAATAGGAACAAAATGGTTAGACCCTCTAACTATTATGAACCTAGGCACATGTACAACCCCAACGTAGTTTGCCATTATTGTAATAGGATAGGCCATATTGCTCCCATTTGTTACACTAGGCATAGACACCTATCACAAAATCAAGCACACTACGATCACACACCTAACACACGAGGACCCAACGTAAATTGGGTACCTAAAACTCATTGATGTGTTTCATAGGTGTGCTTGAAGGCATCAAGTGTACTTTGGTACCTTGATAGTGGATGCTTCAAGCACATGACCGGGGATGCATCCAAATTTCTCCAAATTAAACCCGCTAAAGGAGGAAACGTAGTTTTTGGAGACAATAGCAAGGGAAAAATTATCGGCATTGGTTTGGTAGGTAAATCTGAAAATTATCGGCATGAGTCTTCCCAATCTCATTTCCAGTGTTTTTCCCATTGACAATAATAGGCAATTTTCTCCCAAGTATCTGGCTTGCATGTGAACCCTCTCAAATCCAATATCTTTCTGCCTGGAGAGATCAAAGACAGGACAGATGATATCCTAGCTTTGGTGCCTTTCCCTCAGGGTAAATTGCCTGTTAGATACCTGGGACTCCCTCTTACCTCACAGAGAGCTTCTGAAAGAGACTTTGCCCCACTTGTGAATAAGGTGGATGAACATATCAGAAAATGGAATGCCAAAACCCTGTCAGCTGCTGGAAGATTGGAACTCATCAGATCTGTCATCCAAGGAATTGAAGGATTCTGGTTCCAAGCTTTCCCTATNGTTGGTGTGTCTTCCCTCTGGTGCTGGGTGGGTTGGGGCCCCATTGGTTCTGTGGACTGGTGGGGTTGTGAGGAAACAAACCAACCTCTATTTACCCCTTCTGGGTAGTTAGAGGTTGAGTTGGGTCCTGGTTTGTTGGTGTTCCACACCTCTCCTTTTCCTTGTCCACCCCTCTTCCCCTTCTCCTTTCTTTTGCTTCTTCCTCCTCCTTTGCCTCTCTCTCTTTCCTTGTTGTTTGTTAATTTTTTTTTGTTAAAAAAAACAATAATAATAATAATAAGAATATAATAATAATAAATAAAAATAAAAATAAAATTAAATTTTAAATTATTTCCTTTTTTATGCACACCCGTTCTTCTAGTGCTGGAGAAGTTTTACAATTTTGTGAAGATCCTGAAAGGCTTTTTAGATCTAATCGTAATATAAATTTTCAAAGAAATCAAAATCTTTTTCAAAATAATTTAAATAACCAAGAAATGGGGGAGGAGAATAGAGTTAGACGCACTGTTCTGGATACTATGATTCCTATTTTTGAAGAAAATGACTGTATTGGCACTCCAGCCATTACAGCCGCATCTTTTGAAATAAAACCTGCCATCATACAAATAATTTCTAGTAATCAATTTGGTGGAATGAAACATGAAGACCATAGGGCTCATATTCTTTGGTTTACCCATACATGTTCTACTTTTAAAATTAATGGGGTAGACAAAGACACCGTACGACTCACTCTTTTTCCATTTTCCCTTCGAGACAGAGCTGCGCGGTGGTTAAATAATTTTCCTGCGGGTCATTTTTCTAACTGGGATGATTTACATAAGGCCTTCATGAATGAGTATTTTCCACCCTCGGCAGCTGCTAGAATTCGTATGTCAATTCAGCAGTTTCGTCAAGGTAGTGGAGAATCTCTTCATGAAGCATGGGAACGTTTTAAAGAATTAAGAACTAAATGTCCTCCCACATTGATTGATTCTTTTAGTTTAATGTTTCATTTTTATAATGGCTTAAAATTGATAGTAAAAAGGAACTTGATTATTCTTCTCCTGGTGGTTCTTTCCTTGAGATGACACCAGAACAAAATGAGGCATTGATCAATAAAGTGACTTCAAATTCTCGTTATTGGTATGATGATCGTTCCCCAGTTTCTTCTTCTCAAGGAAGAATTGAGGTTGATGAAGCAACTGCGCTTAGAGCACATATTTAAGCATTGACCGTTAAAATTAAAAACCTAGAGAAGAATCAAGTTCCACCACTTAGGGGTAGTATAAATTCTGTCTCTTACAATTCTTATGCCCCTCATTCACAATCTTCTGAATTGGTCCTTGTTGGAGTTGTGCCCTGATGGCCAACTGTTTATCGTTATTCTATCATGTATAGGCAGATATAATATGTTTACACATCTCATGCTAATGTAAACAAATATTATATTCCTAGATTTATATTTAAAAGATGTTTATCAGATAGTGTTTTTCTGCTGATGAGACTAACATCTTGAAATAAATATTTATCTAAATGTCCATAGTCGAGTATTAACGAGAGTGGGATATCGTTAATGCATGTGAGACTAGTGTGTGTTGGATGTTTGACTTAGTCTCATAGTCAATGACGGTGTGTTCGCATCCGCACATGGGCAGATATTATCTAGAGATAATAGGATGCCGGACTGACCCATCCTAAAGATGTTGCTTGAACTTTTAGTTCATGCTCTAAGCATCTTTAGCGCGACCACGGGTGTAACTATCCTTCGACTTGAAGTATTACGTTTTCTGCATATGTGAACCCGCATACTTTGATGCATTGTCCTAAGCCATATGAAATAAGGATGGTATACAGGCTTTGTTTTGGGTATGCCGCAGCGCGTATTCAGAAACGTAGATTACGTACATAGGATTTGTCACTACTCTTTT